AATCTGAATTCAGTGTGCAGTGTACTTTTGCGGGGGTGAGCAGCAGAGGTGGGGAGAGGCAGGGCTATGAAACGCATGACCGTATAGGCGACCACACGGCCCCGTTGGACCCCCCAGAGCGCTCCGTTCCCAGATCTATCCACCTTTGGACCCGTTGTCGTTTGCGGGGTCTGTTTCTACGTTTCTGTTACGGCGTCGTCGAGCTTAATGGGCTATACGCATGAGAAATATGCGGATTCAACCCGTTTTCGTCCTCGTGGAGCCTACGCCTTAGTCTTTGGTTATAAACCTCATGACATTTTGATTTGAATAACCCAAATGAAAAAGGTGAAACACAGTGCTGTGCTATCAGCGCCTCCTTCACTAAAAAACAACATGGTAATAAAAAAAGGAAGACTGCCATAACTCCATTCATGGCAAAGTGCTGCTAGTTTCAACATCACATCAATATTCAACATTGAAACTAGCTGAACAAACCTTATCCTGAAGGCAATGCCTTTGTTCTAGAGCAGTGGTAATGACTGCATTAGAAACAGGAATATTAAAGAAATATGTTTTTAAGGTTTTGATAAGTTTGAAAATCACAAACAACTAAAAAAGGCAGCGCCTCTCGCCCCCTGACCATGAACCTGGACCTAACCTCCCCCTCAGGTATTCACTTCTCCTGATTGTTATCAGGGAAACCTGAATGAGTTGTTTTTCTACTTTATTAAACAGGAATACTTTTACATTCAGTTTTGACTTTCAAAATGAAGATTTGGTCTTTAAAAAAACAAGAATTAGGAAATGGAATATAACAAGTAATTTATTAATCAATTTGTAATTCCCTCTTTAAATAATCCAAGTCCAGTTCACATTCAAAGGCTGGATTTTAATCTGTATATTTTGGTGCTGTTTCATTGATTTATTGATTTATTGATCAAATAAATAAAGAATGTTCACAATAAAAAACCAGTAATATAAGAATATGCAATGAGAGGCCAAACACCTAAAAGGCTCATTGAGGGTCTCTTTAAGTACAAATATATAAACTCCTACCATTTCTCCCTGTCAGTGAACGCAGCTTGGAATTCAGTGCTGAGGAGGAAAGAGCAGATTCTCCTGCATCGAGCTGTGGGTCCATGATGAGTGACGACTCCATGGGACTACTTGCGGATTTCTAACGGTAAGAGTCAATGTCTATGTAGGTCAACAGAACCTTTTGAGCTGAACTGTCTTCAGAGTGTAACTATCCTCGTCCTTATTCTTTATTTAAATGTAATGCTCCTTTATCTTTAGATGATCCATATCAGACTCTATTAGTCCAGGTTTTCTTCCTTTCCCTTTGGATTCTCCTGCACCGAGCTGTGTGCTCATGAAGAGCGACGGCTCCATGGATTTCCCTGTAGCTTTAATAACTCTTAATCATCATTTCCATTACACTTTCAAACTGCAAGATTCTATGTATTATCTTAGATGGGATATAACTCTATACATCTACAAGTTAATGTGGTAACGTGCATTACAACACTTGCATTGTTCATCACTTACTGATTGTATTTGTTCTCCAGAGATCCAGGGATAAATGCAGGACCCTGGAGAGAACTGGACGGACCTGGACGGACCTGGAGAGACCTGGACGGACCTGGAGAGACCTGGACTCCATGGTCTCGGTGTGTACTAGCAGTGTTGTCGCCTCACAGAAGCAGAGCAGTGAACACAATAACAAGATCTAACTCACCAATCGCAGTAAATCACACCTAATACAGAAGAGAATATTATTATTACGTTCATTTTATAAAGCTTAGCTACTTTGTTGCGGTCTGCTGGGGGGCAGCATCAGAGCTGGTGATGGAGATCTTCTTCCAGTCGTTCTTTACTTGTAATTTTTAAGATTTCTCTGCAAAATACAAATAAAGATTATTTCAACCAATTACCTTTTATTGTAAATGGGAAGTCATTGTACAGAATTCACATGTTAACCAAAAAACACAAACTTCAGACATTGATAAGAAGATCTAACGAAGTCTCAGTGTTTAATATCTCCTTGAAGGATGAAGATTTGTGAATGTAGGACATAAAATGACGGCTCTTAACATCTGTACTAATTTAAAAAGAAAACCTTCCTTTAAGCTGATTTATAACTATTTGTATTGAAGGTACAGGCTAATGTAGGGCTGTGCAATTAATCGTATTTTAATCTCGATTACGATTTTGGCTTGCAACGATTACGAAAACAACGTAATCGAAATAAAACGATTATTATTTTTATTAAAAAAAAAAAAAAAATGTGATTATTTTTTTTTTTAAATATTTTTTTTTATTGGTTTTTCAGTTTAATTATACTTTAAGTTCAGGGTAATCAACTGTTAAAAACATACTGTTCCAATTTTATTTTTCAATAAATGGATGTTTTCAAAGTAAATGGATAATCATTTTTAATAATCGTGATATCAATTATTGACCAAAATAATCGTGATTATGATTTTTGCCATAATCGCACAGCCCTAGGCTAATGCACGTTCTTTGTTTCATGCAATCATTACTAATATGAATATTAAATTATATTTGTATACGTTTTATTTTAGATTAAACATCTGTCAAATCATTGTAATACAATTCTGTATTATTATATATTTGTTCTCACTTCTTTAAAGAAAGAATAAACATACATAAAGCACATTTGGTTATTTTCTTTTAAATAAGTGCTTTCAGATTTAAGGCATTTTCTATGTTTTTAATTATCATTTATATGAATTGTAATATATTTTCCCTGATGTTTCCCCCTCACTGCTTTAACGTGAAAGCTGACCTATTGTTTTATGTGTATCTATACATGCTATATACTCATCATCAGAATACTTTGTTCATCCTGTGGAAGAGTTTGTATATTTATATTAAATGAATATCTGAGCGCTCTTACCTTCTCCAGAGAGACGGTGGAGGACGTTGAGGAAAGCGTCTCCTGAACACTAAAAGAGGAATAATATCGTGAAAAAACCCGTCTTCGGTCCAGCTGTTGTTTAGACTAAAAAACACGCCGGCAATGGACCACACTGAAGCGTCTACGAACTGGGGTCGGTCGCTTCAAAACATGGATGAAGAAGTGGGGCCTGGCAGACAGTGCTGCATGCGAGTGCGGTGACCCTGAACAGACTGCCCAACACATAACCACCACCTGCCCTTTATATAGACCACCCTCTGAAGCCAGCCTCTTCCACTCAGGACCAGAGATGCGGGCATGGCTACACAACACCGAGTTGGACCTCTGACGTTACACGAAAGAAGAAGAAGACTAAAATACAAAAACCTTGAGACGTGACCTTCTGTGTGAAACTAAACTTCATAATAATAATCTCTCTGTTCTGCATCTCTGCTTTTAAATAACATTCATTCAATATCAGCAGCGGTGAAAGTTCATTTACTCGAGTAATGTACTTAATTAAGCAAAGTTAATGTAATTGTACTTTACTTATTACGTATTTACTGCACTACATTCATCTAAATTACTTTGGAAATGCTGATTTTTGACACTCAATTTTTTTGACAGTTTTTAGGGTTTTATGCAATAATCAGTGGTGGAATGAATATCTACATTTAGATAAGTATTTTACTTAAAGGCACATTTCGGGTACTTGTACTTTACTTGAGTATTTTCTTTTTACTTTATATTTATATACACTTCATCTCAAAGGATAATCATGTAGTTTTTACTGCGCTACATTTATCTGACATCCTAAACTGTACAAATTTAAATATGAACTCACAAAACATTTAAAGAACTGTAACATATGAAGCTTGGCTGTTGAATAAACCGTCAGAAACAGAATACCTTTATTAGTACTTTTTGACATTTGATATACTTTAACTGTTGGTACTTTTACTCAAGTAAATACATAGATTAAATACATTGAATAAATAACAGAGTTTTTCTTCTTTCTCGTAGTCATTTAGTAATTCTGGGGCGAGGCTGAGAATCTGCTAAATAATGTATTCATAATAAAGTCTTTGTGGTTCATGTACCATAGATATATATATTCCACGGGTTCTTGTTTCCAGACTGCGGCGATTAGAGCATCCGTAGGCTGCACAAAAGTCCGGCATAGTCAGGTACTTCTGTAAACACAAAGCCAGCAATTTCCTGGAACATAATGTATCTAAATGTAAGATGTTTTTAACAAGCCAAACCACTTGGAAGAAATCATGTGTAACTTACGTTATGTTAAAAAGAAAGAGCAGTTATGCCTCTCCCACTGGTGTAAAGTTTCTGGGGCAACTTTGTAATACTAGGTCTCACTCACAGCCTCTTGTTATTAGCCAGCTAATAAATACAACCACATACACAAAGAAAAGCTGTAATTTCAACATGTCCAAGCATCCTGTATCATAGCCATGCTAATCATGTTTATAATAAACCAAACCGTTTGTAAATCAGTCAAGATTTCAGCGAGTTAAGAGTATTTTTGTGCAGACCACTCACCTTACAACAGCTACCATAGCGCGTACCAGAGTAGCTGTTGACTGTAGCAAGATGGCGGCCGGTGAGCTACGCTGAAAAATCTCCCATGAGCCATCTAGTGTTTATATCATGGTTTATATATATATATCTATGCCTGTTACATATAGAGAGCAACGAATAATGATGTCAAAGTCCTTATATCTGCACTCGAAGCTGGTAAATAAAGCATCCAATCAAATCAGCGCATAGACGCAACGAGCCAATCACAGCAGAGTACTGGGCGGGACCAGGCGGAAGAGTTTTGAGATCTCTCGTGTCAAATAACCCCTGTTTTTGTTACTTTATACCCGCCTGAAAATCAATTATATCCGCCTGAATGGTCCATAAGAAGACTGATATTCTTACAGTGAGGTTTTAATTTAAAATTGATTTCAGAAACACATTTTATTAATGTCTGACTCCCTGTAATCCGTGTGTTTTCTATACAACCAACCTCCAACTGACGTGTCACATGTCCTTGTTATGTTTTGAGTCATGTTAAGTTTCACTTTCACTTTGGCAAATAACTGCGCGCACTAAAGGTAAGCTGAACTGCGGATTTAACCATCGACATATAAACGTATATTATTGAACACTTTGATTCAGTCTCAGTACATATGTATATATGTAATACTACTCATGCTGTAACGTTACCTCGAATGCTATCTAGTTTATAACTGTCTTTAACCGTGTATGCTAGCTAGGACTCGGTTAGCTTAGCACAAACTTCCTCATTGTTCTAGAAAACGGGTAACTATTTTTTAACGGCTTTATAAACCGTTAATGTGACGGTTGGTCGCGAGGTTTTTGTGTTTCTGTACATTGTTACCACAACCGAAGCTGAATTAAAGTTAGTGATATTATTATAAAAGTTGTTGTTTATCTTTGTCGGACATTTTGTTATATAAGGAGATATATACGTAATGTGTTATTTCCGATTACAGGACACTCTTGATATTTAAAAAATATATGTCACATGCATTATTGCTACATAAACATTATATTGCTGTTTTAGTTTCGCCAACTTCGTTTCTGATATGCAAGAAGACTACAAAATATGATATATCTTTCCAATCCAGACAAGAGATCTCTCCCCGTCTGTGTGCGAGGGGGCGGGGCAGTTTACACACACGCGGTTTACACACACACACACGCGCGCACACGCACACGCACACGCACACAAATAATGAAATAGTACAATTTATATTTTAGGCAGGATTTTGAATCTGTATTTTTTTGGTAGGCCTACCCTAAAGGTAGGGTAGGTAAGTTTGAGAAACCGGCTCGCGATCGCTAGAATTTGAAAATACACAACCGGAGAAAATCTGTCACTTCCTTACAGAGCCCCTCCTCCAACACACACAAACGCGCACATGACCAATGAGGGCACGAGATAAGTTTGTGCACAGATGGAAGGCTGACAGGCAGGTAGTCCATCCAGTTATTTTAGCCGGGCCGGCTCAAATGATTGGTCGTACTTTTTACAGTACCACGGCTTCCACAGATGACATTTTTTTATGGATTTTTTGTCAAAGCACTTCAGATATTCATTGCTATCGGGATGTTAAGAGCATTCCATGGAATATAACAAAAAGTGTATCTCGAGCCGGTTTCTCAAACTTACCTACCCTACCTTTAAGGCTTAAAGGCTTATTGAGGTATTCAGAAAGCGACCTGAATAGTTTTATAAATACAATTTAAATGCGAAGGCAAGGTTTTTATTTTTGATTTAAATCTGTTGTTTTTCTATTGTAGAAACTGATCTGAATACTTCTTTGTATTTAATATGTTTTATACACGTCTTTATTTTCTCAAGGGAATTTAAGGTCCTGACTTTGTAATGACTCCTGCTAACACAACATGTTTGATGTGTTTTCAAGTCCTGTTTGCACCATGAGTGAATCTGAGGATGAAGAGGGGGGGGTCCCGCCCTCCAGCAGCACTCTGTCTGAGGAACATGAGAGGTGAGAGGAAGATCTCAGATGTGACTGATTCAGAAAAGTGACTGTTGCATACATTTAGCAGAATATGTTGTCAGTTTCTCTTCCCGCCACATGATTACAATAATCAAGATCACTTTACTGGAATGGTTTTTTTCTTGTTTGCTTATGAAATATAAAATGTGGCCTTGTAGGCCCTTGTGACTTTTTATCTTTCGGCCAGCAGATAAGCGTACCAAAGTTCACCATTAACGTCGGTTGGATTTTTATATAGTTTTATTGTTTTACCACGTCAATAAAAAATATCTTTTGCCGCCTCAACATTATTTTAAAGACAAACACTATGTTTTATGTGCAACTACACCTGTTGACAGCTTTTCTTAAGGTCGTTAAGATAATTTATTTATAGTAAAAACCTATAATTAGTGTAGTGCACCTAACTAGAGAATGGTTTAGACCAGGATTGTGTGAACGTGTGACTGCATTCAAGCAACAACAACAAAAACAGCCGTCATTGTGAATGTGAAAGTCTTTGAAACTGATCTTTTTTCAGTCATTGAGCTTCATATTCTTCCACCTCTCTCTCAACGCTCCATTTCTTTCAGGACTGAGCAGGAAAGAGCAGATTCTCCTGAACCATCCTGTGTTTCCATGAGGAGTGACCGCTCCACAGGGGACCCCACAGCTTTCAATCAGCAAGATTTAATTCCTAAGTAAGTTAACAGAACCTTCTGAGCTCAAATGTATCTATAAGGAATTTCAAATGTAAGGCATTTGTTGTTGACATTGTTTTTTTTACCATTACAACCAACCTGAATAATCTTGCTGCACTTTGCATGAAAGTGCTTCACTGCTCAGTCTGACAGCTGCAGAGCAAGGAGGAAGTACACTAGCTGCCCACTGCTCCTAGTACTAGACTCCTGGTACTAAGATGGGTTAAATGCAGAGGCCACATTTCACTGTGTGTGCTGTGTGCTCTGCATGTGTGACCATTAAAAGAGGGTTTCATCCCTCCCAATTCTAATTCTAAGTACGGAGATAAAAGTCACTAACTCACCGGCGCTCAGAAAAATATGCGATGTGGACACGGGCCCTTACTATATAACTATTCTATATATGCTGTCTTGCAATCTGGCACCAGGGGCCTCATTTATAAAGCCTTGCGTAGGATTCACGTGGGAAGGTGGCGTACGTAGGACAAAGCAAGTAAATACGCACACAAATATTCCGATTTATAAAACACTGCGCACGCACGTCCTACGGCGGTTTCCCTTTATAAATCACAACTCGAAATGCGGCGCAGCTTTTGCGGGCTTCACGTAACGCCCATATTTGCCTATAAATAGTCAAAGAAACGCCCCGTATTAATATTCATTCAGACTGACTACATGAAGAAGATCGCAGGAAATGAGGACAGAACAGCTAAAAAAGACATCTCACACCGAGTCAGATTTAGGTTCTTTTGGGGAGGTGGAGATAAATCACATTGTTTGGTGGATGCAGTTTGAACCAGAGTAGCAGCATGGAGGTCGGATCGTCACCAACATAAATAAATAAGTGGTCCGAAAAAAGTGAATGACAAAATACACATAACCTTCCTCAGGCAGTGTGTCAGTGTGTTTGTGCCGGGGACAGGAGACCCCCCCATGATGAGAAACTGTAAGAAAGTATCGGGGGATCCCTCCGGAGTGGAGTCATGGCGACTGGATCTGAAAAAATGTATTTCATTTCGTGGTTTGTGTTCCAGCCAGAGGTTGTGCTAGACTTTTTTGCTGCCCGTCATTTTGACGGACAGGATCGTAACATTTCCGTCAAAATCCATTATAACCCGTCGGCCTGTACACAACTCTGCCGGGGGGGGGGGCACACTCGCTCGTGAACTGTTAGCGGCGTGTTATGCATGCCCACTGCACCTCGCGGGAGCGCGCGCAGCGTAAAGCAAGTACTCACAGACATTTCACTGATCTGTTCGGCAAAGTTAGGTTTGGAAACTATATCATTTCCTTTTGGGAGGGCATGCATAATAACACGGCATAACACCGGAGCCCCGCTGCGCGGAAACTTTGGCGCTGTTCTGAGTTTGTTGTAATCTGTCAAAATGACGGACGGCTTTCAGATTTTTCTATCATTGTTATAAAAAAAAACATCATAGACGGAAAATATTCGGTTAACGCGACCTCTGGTTCCAGCTGTCAATCAGCTGTGCGCAGCGTCTCCAATGCCTGTGCATCTCAACACCCCCCCCCCCCCGCAGCAACTCTATCCACCAGTTAAATGTGTTGTGTTATATGGTGTTCTTGGTTTCCATACCTCCTGTGTTTTACGAGCGACTTATCAAGTCTTGGCGAACGGCATAAAACACGATTAAACGTGATAGTATATAAAACCATGCTCGTATCTACAACCTATAGAAATGCAAAACGGCGTCAGTTTAGACGTTATTCTGTCCTCCTGCTTACCGCATCATTTATGAGAAAACATTTCATAACATTAACACAACATATTCGAGGTGGTTTTAAATAGCATATCCGTATTTATTTATTTCTCCAAGTTATGTTTTTGTGTGCACTGAGGAGTCTCAAACAGGCGTTTGTTTAATCATTTTAAGATTGGCTTTAATCAATGTTTGAAAATGAATTCTTCATATTTGATAAATGAGAGGTAACATTTTATTTATGGTATTATTTCCACATATTTCTCTCCATTCTTCCTTCTGCCAACGGTGTCGCAGTTTCTCGTCTCTCCCGTTGTTGTGCTTAGTGCGTACAGATGGGTCAGAGTTTGCGTGGAGGACCGCACATTTTCCCGTCAAGTTTGTTTTTTGTAAATCGCAAACATTGCTTAGAAACTGGCGTACGCCATCTTTTGAGCGTACGCACCGTTTATAAATGAGGCCCCTGGAGAGGATTCAGTTTTTATTTAACGCAATGTAATGTATTAGATTCAGTTCAGAGCAAGTCCAAACATCTTTAAATGGGCAGAAATCAAATGCTGCTTTTTACAAGAACTAATGATGTGTGTAAAACATGTGTTGTTTCCACAGACAGAGAGCAGGGTCTCCAGCCCCCAGCTGTCTGTCTCTGAAGAGTGACCGGTCCATAGGGGAACCTCCACTCTTCAGTAAAGAACCTGGACCCTCAGACACAAAGTAAGAGTCTGTTTCTACTGTAACCTGACCTGAAGAGGATTCAGTTGTTACATCATCGGATAATATAAACTGCTTTATTTATAATAAATACACAAGGGCAGTATATTACAGAAACACAGTTAGTTTAGTTCAGTAGTAAAATAGCAGTACAGTGTAAAAGGGCTATTTAAATTTAAAACAATATATACATTTTTTTTTAATTGTTATCGGGCCTTCATCTTTTCTTTTTCAGAACAAGGGTTTCTGCCTGAGTGTAACCCTCAGCATCTTTTTTAATGTGTTGTTCAGATGGTTAATAATAAGAGTAATAACTTGGTGAGGACGAGGTTACGTTTAACATTAGCAAGTGCAGTTGAGAGAGCGAGAGACACATTGACAAAGAGAGAGAGACAGAGATTCTCACACACACACACACACACACACACACACACACACACACACACACACACACACACACACACACACACACACACACAGGTTTCTTGTACACCCGGCTCTGGGCTGCCACCCAAACTCTTTCCTCACAGCTCCATGCTCCTCACTGATGTCTCCCTGCCGGTACCTGCTCCCAGGGTTTGGACCGGACACAAAGCTAATTTTCAGAACCTTTTGAGCTCATGTTGTCTTTGAAAATAAACAACAATACTATATGTGCTTGTCTACAATCTGACACCTGAGGCCTGTACTACGAAGCCGGATTTTCGCTTATCGAGGTAACTTCAGGGTTAACTCTGGGTTCCCGGTCCTACGACGCTGGTTCTGTTCTTAGCGGGCTAGATCTCCATGGTAACTTATGCTGAACGGCTTTTTTTTTACCAGCTGTATTCACCTTGCAGGTGCAACTATGTGGCTTTGATCCTGGATAAAGTGTTTAAGTCATGGAAGTTTAAAGTTTAACTTCTTCATAGTTGTCTAATATTAAAGTTCACTTTTCATTCAGGAAGTATGACGCTGTGCTGTCAGTACGCTTGTCATGTGAACGCGCTCTCAGCCGGACGGAGGAACCCTGGCTTGAGTTAACGAGTTGATAACCAGCGTCGTAGGACAGTTTAGCGAGAGCGCGTTTGTTTTGGGTTAGTTAAGCCAGATAACGATTAATCAATGTTCTAACTTGAAACACCTTTTTTTCATGTACCATTAGCAAGCTTTAATCCTTTTGACTTTGGTTATCGATTCACCTTTTTTTTAGGACTGAGGAGAAAAGAGCAGATTCTCCAACACAAAGCTGTGTGTCCATGAGTAGTGACCGCTCCATGGATTACCCTAGCAAGTGAGTTTGGCCTCGGGCCAATTTTTTTGGCCCAATTCACTGACAATTCACTAGCTGGCCCGCCATCGGGGGAGGGGTTACAAGGCTCGCGTCTTGTGCTGCATTCACTTGCACTCGGACATTAGGGATTTTCTCTCATAAATGTCCGATGAGCCAAAACTTTTCTTTCAAAACAAAGCACATTTTCCGGGCCAAATATTATTGCTGGCGGGCCAACAATGGCCTGTTGCCGACCCATGTCCTACAGCTTTCAAACGGCAAAATTCAATTCCTAAGTAAGTTAACCGGACCTTTTGAGCTCATATTGTCTTAGAAAGGATACAACAACACTGTATGTGCTTGCCTACGGCTGACACCTGGTGGCTACGATTAGTTAATGTTCTAACTTCAAACACCTGCTTTCTTCAGGCAACGAGCTTCTAACATCTTAGCCTGTCTTTTGTCAATTCTCCATGTATTGCAACACTTACATTCTTCAGTGTTTGTTTGACTTAAATCAAACACTAATGAACGTTTTTTTCTCCCCAGGGATCAACAGGAAACTTCAGAGGTTCATACAGAGTTGGACTCCATATTCAGGGTGTGTAAACATCCCTACCTTTAATGTGATATTTCGGATTGTTAGAAGTAGTGTTCTTATATCCATGCAGTAGATCATGCAGTTTGGAGAAAATACAAAGTTATTTTGATGCTACACTGATTTGTAATAGGGAGAAAGGTGCCTCTCTCAGTCCCACTCTGCAGCCCAAACGCATGTTCCTGCACGTTGCATGTAATCTTGAAGTGCGAGTCGTGACGTCTCCTCCGCGTAAGATTATCGGCATTAAGTTCACTTTAGTAAAATGGCATCATATTTAATGAATTAAATGTTTCCTGGGGTTTCCTCTGATGTCCTCTAGAAACTCCGCTTCAACTATCGGTTATTTACTGGTAATGTTAACTGCTGCCAACGCAAGTTAGCAAAGATCTGAATATGAGCACACAGGCTAGCAGCAGGGGTTTGGACCGCTGGGAGGAGAAGGTTTTCTGGGTGTGGGGGTGGGATGGGGATCGCCGGGCGTCGACGTGTTGTGCAAGAATCAGAGCAGACACTGGAGGAGTGATCAGCAGCCTCTAGGTATGTTTTATTGACCTTGTTTGTTTTGCAAACAGAAGTGACACAAAAACTGCAAAATGAATGATCACTGGCCCATATCATGAAGATTTAGGGGTAAGCTATATTTAGAATATGTATTGTTTTACATTGCTGACCTATAAACCTTTCAGTTAGGGAACTGAAGCGGTTATTCATGCTCTCATTAAACACGTACGTTGCCATGCCTTGATTGCGTTAGATGGTTTGTGTTATTGTGTGATTGTTGTCAATCCGAGCTAACCCAAACACCAAAGTCAAACAATCCAACTAACCAATCAAAGCAGCAGTAGACGCTGTCACAGGTATCTCCAACAGTTGAACGGGCAAACTCGGCTAAATGATTAGTGTAGTGCCTTGATTGCAACACTGTGACAGCAGCTGAATCACTAGCAAGGATTCTGCTTTCGGGTAGAAACAGATATAGGATATTTTTCTGACTCAAGGGAAGACTTGGTAAGACAGAATACAAGCACATTTTTACAAAAATTCAATTTTATTGAATTGCAGCTTCTTGAGGACAACATGTTTGCCTATCTGAAGAAAGAGCTTAAGAAGTTCCAGAAGGTTTTGAGAAGTAATAACCCAGAATGCTTCGAGAGCCAAGGTAAGTCTGAAGAAGTGGTTGATGGGGAAGAGGAAGAGCAGAGGAGGAGCAGAAGAGAGGCATTTCTGAAGATCACACTGGACTTCCTGAGAACAATGAAGCAGGAGGAACTGGCAGACTCACTGAGAAACAGTAAGACGTTTAAAATAAATGTTAAAATCATAGATTCACACGTCTACAGTTTACTGTCAATATTAAAATCTGCATTAAATCTATTCATACTGGTTAACACACCATCAAAAGCTGTTTGTCTAGCATGTAGAGCCTACTGTTGAGTCGACTTTTCAAGGGCGCTGAGGCAGCTTTCGCCTTTAGTTGCTCAGGGACCATAACCAGCTAACAGTTCTATCCGATCTTCCAGGTGTTGTTTTTTAAAGTTCTATTAAAATATTGTCCATGGGACAGCAGTGTTTTCCCTAGAAAACGCAGTTCGCTTCGCTCTTGGTGTGTGGGTATGTGCATGACACGAGCACTTGAGAGACACGAGCAGAAATTATTAATGTTCGTGTCACATTTTATCAGTGGTTCTTATAAAATGAAGAAATGTAAAACACTGGACAGATCTTCAAGTCAGTGTAATGTCACTAAAATAAACAATTTCTGCATATTTGCTGCATACCAATATTTACAAAAGTCAAGGTATCTCTCGGCTGTGATTGGTTGTTCCTTTTCACATTACAAGCAGTGCAAGCTGCTGCCTTCCCAACGTTTGACTTTCAACTCTGGGCCTGGCTTTCTCGTTTCCAGCCGTGTCTTTGTTGACAATAATGAAAATATGCAAGCCTAAACACGGCCAGTGTACAGCCCCTAATCATTTTTTTTTTCTTGTAGAATTTCTTGCTGCAATGGGCCAACCTAAACTCAAATCTAATCTGAAGAAGAAGTTTGAATTTGTGTTTGAGGGGATTGCTAAAGCAGGAAATCCATCCGTTCTGAACCAGATCTACACAGAGCTGTACATCACAGAGGGAGGGACTGCAGAGACCAATAAAGACCACGAGGTCATACAGATTGAGAAAGCATCCTGGAAACCAGACACACCAGAAACAACAATCAGATGTGAAGACATCTTTAAGGCCTCACCTGGAAGAGATAAACCAACCAGAACAGTGATAACAAAGGGTGGGGCTGGCATTGGGAAAACAGTCTTAACACAGAAGTTCACTCTGGACTGGGCTGAAGGCAAAGCCAACCAGGACATACAGTTCATATTTCCTTTCTCTTTCAAAGAGCTGAATGTGCTGAAAGAAAGAAAGTACAGTTTGGTGGATCTTGTTCATTACTTCTTTCCTGAATTTGAAAAAGCAGGAGTCTGGAGGTTTGAAGAGTCCCAAGTCCTGTTGATCTTTGACGGTCTGGATGAGTGTCGACTTCCTCTGGACTTCCACAACACTGAGATCCTGACTGATGTCACAGAGTCCACCTCAGTGGATGTGCTGCTGACAAACCTCATCAGGGGGAAGCTGCTTCCCTCAACTCGCCTCTGGATAACCACAAGACCTGCAGCGGCCAATCAGATCCCTCCTGAGTGTGTGGACATGGTGACAGAGGTCCGAGGGTTCACCGACCCACAGAAGGAGGTTTACTTCAGGAAGAGATTCAGAGATCTGGAGCCGGCCGGCACCATCATCTCCCACATCAAGACCTCACGAAGCCTCCACATCATGTGCCACATCCCCATCTTCTGCTGGATCTCTGCTGTAGTTCTGGAGGAGGTGTTGAAAACCAGAGAGGGAGGAGAGCTGCCCAAGACCCTGACTGAGATGTACATCCACTTCCTGGTGGTTCAGTCCAAAGTGAAGAAAGTCAAGTATGATGGAGGAGCTGAGACAGATCCACACTGGAGTCCAGAGAGCAGGAAGATGGTCGGGTTTCTGGGGAAACTGGCTTTCCAGGAGCTGAAGAAAGGCAACATCATCTTCTATGAGTCCGACCTGACCGAGTGTGGCATCAATATCAGAGCAGCCTCAGTGTACTCAGGAGTGTTCACTGAGGTCTTTAAAGAGGAGACAGGAATTCACCAGGACAAGATGTTCAGCTTCGTCCATCTGAGCGTTCAGGAGTTCCTGGCTGCACTTTATGTCCATCTGACATTCTTCAACTCTGGTGTCAATCTGTTGTCAGAAGAACAAACATCCTCACTGTGGTCTAAATTGATCGGAGTCAGACCTGAACACTTCTATCAGAGTGCTGTGGACAAGGCCTTACAGAGTCCAAACGGACACCTGGACTTGTTCCTCCGCTTCCTCATGGGTCTCTCATTGGAGACCAATCAGACACTCCTACGAGGCCTGGTGACACAGACAAAAAGCAGCGCACTGACCAACCAGGAAACAGTTAAATACATCAAGAAGAAGATCGAAAATAATTTCTCTGCAGAGAAAAGCATCAATCTCTTCCACTGTCTGAATGAACTGAACGACAGTTCACTAATTCATGAAATCCAGAAAGGCCTGAATTCAACTTCTCTCTCCACTGATAAGTGGTCACCTGTTCAGTGGTCAGCTTTGGTCTTCATCTTACTGTCTTCACAAAGCGATCTGGAGGTGTTTGACCTGAAGACATACTCAGATTCAGAGGAGGATCTTCTGAGGCTGATGCCAGTGGTGAAAGCCTCCACCAAAGCTCTGTAGGTTGAAAATGAGGGTGCTCCAAGGGGGTGTTATTACTTGGTATTGTCTTTTAATTATTGTGAAGCATTATTTATTATCTAAACTATTCTAAACAATGAATATTAAATATTAAAGAAACATCTTATGTTACGTTTTTTTTGCCAATCCTTCTTCAGGCTGAATTGCTGTAATCTGTCAGAGCAAAGCTGCAAAGCTCTGTCTTCAGTGCTGAGCTCTGATTCCTCCAGTCTGAGAGAGCTGGACCTGAGCAACAACGACCTGCAGGATTCAGGAGTGAAGCTGCTCTGTGAAGGACTGCAGAATCCACACTGTAAACTGAAATCTCTCAGGTCAGAATTCATTCATTTGTTTAACAGATATTGTGCACAACGAACATTGGGTGGAAATATTTGTTTTGTATATCCAGACGATAACTTTCTATTCCAGTTATTTGGAACTCTCTGGACGTTCATTTTAAATGATTCAACCTTACAAGACTCTCCAGTCCACCTACAAGTAGCGTTGGAGGTATTGGGGGGAACAGGGAGAAGCTGGCCATATGCACCAGTGTTGTAATCAAGTCACCAAATCTCGAGTCCGAGTCAATCTCAAGTCCCCACTCTTCGAGCCAGAGTCCAAGTCCGAGTCAGCCAAGAAGAGTCCGAGTCACGCAAGACTGAATCCGAGTCAGCATGTATTCATCTGAGTGGATATATTTGATTTAAATGTAGCTGTTGGTTTGGTTCTTATCAATCAATATTTGTTATTGTCTACATTGGTTTTATCCTTTTATTTTATGCATTGTTTTTATTCTGTCTATATAACTGCTGTGAAGCACTTTGGGCTGCAATTTTTGTATGAAAGGTGTTATACAAATAGATAGACAAAGTATTTAGAAAGAGAAGTGTCCAGTTTAGTTTGATGTATTACGTTGTCTGTTTATTGTTAACTGTGGAGAACCAGCAATAAACAGATGTTTCCATCGGCACCCGAACGGACCGTTCATCTTTTTCTCCGTGATAAATAAAAGCCCGGACAGCTGGTTATCAGCTGACAACGAGCTGCGTCAGAACTTGCCGGTGAGCATCCAAACTACGGTTTAGGAGCCTAGATACCGATAGTAAACAATGTAAAATAACTTTTGCTCATGAAATTTGACGTTGTCCCAGTCTTTTCATCAATCATCCTTTTACAGAAGGGCATTTTGCCTGCTCTTATTGTAAAAGCACACAGTACGATGCGGGGTAGTGTGTCTCTGCACATCTTTAGACTGAGAATAGCGGGGGTGTGTGGTACGGGAACTCGCCTCGCAGCTGCACAAGAGTACATCTGGACTTAAAGGGGACCTATCATGTAAAATGCACTTTTTTATGTCTGTTATACATAAATATGTGTCCCCGGTGTGTCAGGGAACTCACGCAGCGTCAGAAAATAAAACCCTCTCTTTTCCTCCGTACCCAAATCTCTAAAAACGGGGGAACAACGGAGCTGATCCAGATTTGCGTCTGATATGACGCAATATCGGAAATGTGGACCCACGGCCCTATCAGAAAGTTGCTATCAGAAACAATGCCCGACTGTTTTGGGCGTAATATGGTCGGTGTTTACATTAGCATCGCTAACACTCAGAGCTAACCTGTACTGGAGAGCATGTGTGTGAAGAAGCAGGAAATAAAAAGGAACTCACCTTGTGGTATAACCGGCAAGAGAGAAAGCCTTTGAGCTCCATACTGTTTCAGAAATAATCCTTGATAATCCATGATATGGCGTTTCATCACGGCAGTATTTAGTTTAGACCAGGGGTTTTCAAAGTGTGGGAAGGTGAGCCTCCCCTCAGAGAACATAAGAACAGCCGCGCCCCCCCTCCCAATTATTATTGCTATTATTGTTGTTGTTGCTATAATGCAGGGGTATTCAATTGCATTTCAAAGAGGTCTAGTGAGAGAAAATGTCATTTAAATGCTCTGTTTTTGCTGTCTACCTTTCTTTTTTTTGAGCACGCCATTTGAAATTAAAAAAACTTTTTTTTTTTTTTTTTTGTGAAAAAAAAAAAGACCCGCCGACGGGGGCTTTGGGGCTTAACAGGTTAAACAATAACTTTTTTAAACGTTTTTATCTTTATGTTTTAAACATATTGTATAAAACTCCCCCACTACTTGGACTATTCCTTGCACCCCTCTAGAATAAGCCCGAATGGTCTCAACCATATTGCATCAGTAACGTGCACTTGTTGTTATAACAAGATCTCAAGGACACTGGTAGCGATCGGACAATTGAGTGTTGTTCAGTTTGTGTGTTGTGGAACATGCGTGTGCACGAAAATATACCACACACCCAATTACAATAGCATGTTCAATTCACTACCCTGGAAGTTAATAAAGTTGTTAAAGTTGGAACAGCCTGTGGACAGCCGTTCTTCCTTGCATGTCAGTCGCCGACACCTTTTTACAGAGGACAGGCAAATCTAGCTGCAGCACGACCCGTATATTTTCGCACGCCGTGTTCTCAACACATATTTTTAAAACATTTTTAACATTTTCAACATCGTGAATACATCCTTATATGCTCCCGGCAACACACTGAACGTCAATGTTGCCTCCTTATTACACTCACCCCTACTTTAGTGGGAACAATGAGTCTGCGTCTTTGATGCACACAGGAATAAACGCAGATCATCCTCTGGCTGCAGCCTTGACCGGCACTTGCTTTTGATCAAAGTCAATGCGGAAAACCCGCACTCACACAGGTAGGTGGAGGTGAAGGGAATGAGCACTTTTACAGCCTTTTTGGCGAGGTGGGGGAACTCGGTCTCCACAGACAGCCAAAAGTGTGCAAGTGTCACTTTACTCGTCTTTTTCTCGTTATTTTTTTTCTCACGCTGCGCCTCCCCTGAAGCTCTCTGGCGTCCCCCAGAGGAGGCGCGCCTCACACTTTGAAAACCGCTGGTTTAGACAGTAGCTGCTGGGTCCCGCATGAGCTCAGCCCCCTCCTTTTTCTTTTTTTATACATTTTTTCTTTTTTAAAGCTTTATACCCCAAAATCAGCACTTTTGAAACAGGAAGTGAAATAGAGGGATATGAGGCATGGCTAGAATGGGTGATCTGTTTGGTATTTTGAGCAAAACACTTCATAGACATGTTTTTTATATATTTGTATATATCTGAGACCTATGCTATTGCCTAAAAATAGCATGATAGGTGACCTTTAAGACAAAACTTGTTTGAGTCCAAGTCCAATCGTCAATGTCCGAGTTAGAGTCCGAGTCCTCATGCGCAAAAATTCAAGGGTTAAAATCCATTACAGTCCTGCAAATCGGCCAAGTCCAGGACTCGAGTACTGCAAGTCTGATATGCACTACAGTGCACAACAATCTGTGTAAAAATAATGCACCAGAGTAAGTGGGAAAGGGGTCATTGGCATGGCCTTGGATTTACGGCCTTGTTCTTTATAAATCTCCTGTTCACAAAAGGTCTTCACAAAAAGCAGGAACACGTTTTATATTCTTGTAATAAAACCCTTAATCGTGTGTGCAGGTTATCAGGCTGTCTGATCACAAAGAAAGGCTTTTCTTCTCTGGCCTCTGCTCTGAGATCCAACTCCGTCCTGAGAGAGCTGGACGTCAGCTACAATAATCCAGGAAACAAAGGAGTGAAACTTCTTTCTGCTGGAAGACTTGAATCTCTCAGGTATGGACAGACGGGTTGAGTTTGTTTATTCAGTAGCTCAACAAGTAGTTTAGATTAAGTCATTAAGTGCTGATTTGTTTTCACACCAGGGTGGACCATGGTGGAAAGCAGTTAAAGAAACCGGGTCTACGGAAGTGTAAGTGTGTTTTTATTAAAGAAAGTGAACAGGTTGAAACACAGGATGACAAACTGTTGTTCTTAGAAAGCCTTGTTGTAAATGTATCTTGTCCAACAACAAACTGAAAAGTCTAAAATCCTGTCCAAATGAGGTAGTCCTGAAAGGGCTCTTGGAATCTACAGTCATGCACGTGCCTAGCTGTGATCCAAGCTAGAAGGTGACATTAAGATGCTGAAATGCTCACATTAACAATGCTAATATTCTCTCCATCAGACGCCCGTAAACTGACACTGGACCCAAAGACGGCAAACAAAAATCTCATTCTGTCCGACAACAACAGGAAGTTGACAGCGAGCAGAGAGACGCAGCCATATCCTGATGATCCAGAGAGATTTGACTACTGGAAACAGGTTCTGTGCACAGATGGTCTGGACGGTCGCAGTTACTTCGAGGTCGAATGGAAAGGACATGTTTATATAGGAGTGACTTACAAAGGAATGAAAAGGAGAGGAGACAGTGAGGACTGCTGCCTTGGAAGGAATGACCACTCCTGAAGTCTGAGCTGCTCTGAAAAAGATGGTTACTCTATCCTGCACAGTAACAAGAGAGAAAAGATCCCTGTCCCCATCTCGAACACAGTGGGGGTGTACCTGGACTGCCCTGCTGGCACTCTGTCCTTCTACAAGATCTCTGCAAACAAAGTCACCCACATCCACACCTTCCACACCACATTCACCGAGCTGCTCCACCCTACCTTCAGGGTAAGGATGGACACGCAGAACTCGTCAGTGTCTTTGTGTGAGATTTGGAAACAAAGCCCCAATATCAAGACCCCCAGACTTTGAGTTGCGTTTTCCTGCTAAAACCTGTGAGGGCAAAGTAACACTGCAGGCAGTCGAAAAAAGAGAACATTTTAATTTCCACAAAACATTTCAATCAGGAGAGACGTTGATGTATGAAATACGTGTTTATTACCGGGACACGTAATATGAATGTGATAATGATTGCCAGAATTAAACAGGAGAATGAAATGGTGTTTGGCGATTAGGCCCCGATTTGCAGGATTATCATTCAGGAGGGGAAGAACCGCTCCGAAGAAACCCCCCGGGGTCTAGACACTGGTGGTGGTGATAAGTAGGTGGGAACGGACTGAAGGGAGAAGGTTTAGCTTGGTCCTGAAGGAGACGGGAGGCAAAGGGGTGGAGGAGGGTTGCGTATTATCACCTGAAATGACAGCTGACAGAGGGAAGAGCAGATATAAAGGGATTAGCAGGTGCTATGATAGGCTTGTGAGAAAGGAGAGAGGAGAGATTGGTTAGCTGGGGAGAGACGCCCCGATCACTTAATGAGGGAGGAGAGAGTAATGAAGTGACGTGTAATATGAATGAAGAGCTTGGTCTTCCTGATTGAACTTGAGCTTCATTTAGCTGACATGGGGAATTCTGATATATAAAAAAATGAAATCAGAAGAAATCAAGCATTGAAAAAACTACCAGGTGATTGCTGTTAAATCTCGACGGTAAAGATTAGGATTTTCTATCTTTGAGTGGGTTATATGTATATATATATGTATCATGAATAAAATCGTTTTGTGTATACAACAAACTGAATGCTAATCAGCTAACGGCTAATACCTGCAACCATAATGCACTAAGTGCACTTTCATTTGAAAAAGTGACGTTTTAAAATACATAACCGTATAAACCATTAAACAGAAACATCAGGCAAACAGAATTTTAAATGTTCACTCATTATATATATTTAATTCTGCTTACTATCATTATGACAGTTTCCATAACAAAGACATGTTATGCCAATTGAGACAAAACACGGCATGCAGTTAACTTAGTTAGGACACAGGCTGATATATAGTATAATAATAAACTCAACCATTTGTATTGGATTATTTAAAATTGTATTTGTTGAGTCAAAGTGAAGAAGTAACCAAATCAGATTTTGTTTTTTAATGAATGAATTACAATGTCATGTTTATATGTTATATATTTGTTCATATGTATGCACATAACTACATTGAGTTTCTATCTTTTGAGGTTGCAGTGAATAATATACTTTTTATTATTTTGTGTCTCTCAATGCCCTGTTTGTGTCACAGTCTGCTTTCTCACTCACCTATTTTCTGCATTAACATTCCTTAGTCACCTGGTAGCCACACCCTGTCTCTCTCTCTCACTCTGTTACACCCATCAGCTCCAGTAGTATATAGGCCCACTTCACTCTCACCTCAGTGCCAGATCGTACTTTGCAGCATGCCAGTCTTTCCAGCATTACTTCCCAGATTGCTCTCCCGGTTCCGACCCTGCCTGTCCCTGACCTGCCTGCCTCGCCTGATTCCTGACCCTGCCTGTACTCGGACTATTCTGCCACGCCTGCTCCCTGACCCGGTCTGTACCTGCGACTCCCGTCTTGCCTTCTCCTGGAACCCTCGCCTGTCCCCGACCAGCCCTTTGCCTACTACCTGCCTTTTCGTCTCCTACCAGTTATTGCCTTCAATAAAGCTGGTTACAGACTATCCCTGGTTTCCCCGTGTTTTGCATTTTGGTCCTCAGCTCGTTTGTGACAGAACGATCTGGCCAGAAATGGACCAAGCAAACACCGGGTCTCCTAGAGACCGCTTTGAGAGGGTTGAGGAAGCCATCCAAAGACAGGAGGTCACGATAGCTACCTTAGCTACCGAGACCCACCAGGCAACCTCAACCCAGGAACAAGCGCTGGCTTACCTGGCCTCCCAGATGCAACAGATGGCCGCCACCGTACAACAGCTAGCCGCTAGCATGGCTGCTACCGTCCCTCCGCCTGCAGCTCCGATGTTCACTCCAGCCTCTGGATCGACTGGATACGCTCCGGAGCCTCGTGTGGGAACTCCGGAACGCTACGCTGGTGAGCCTGAGGGATGCAGTCCTTTTCTCACAAACTGTTCCATATTGTTTTCACTGCAGCCACACACCTTTGCCTCCGAGGCGGCTCGCGTAGCTTTCACCGTTAATCATTTGACGGGGAAAGCCCGCTTATGGGGTACTGCAGAGTGGGAGCAGCAGACTCCAGCCTGCGCCTCTTTTGCTGCTTTTTCCGCGGAGATGCGGAAGGTGTTCGGTTCCGTTCGTCTGGGTCCCGATGCTGCCGGAGGTCTGCTGAGCTTGAGCCAGGGTTCCGGCACGGTGGTGAATTACGCTATTGACTTCCGCACCAGCAGCCGCCGTAGTAGCTGGAACGAGCCGGCGCAATGTGACGCATATCTGAGAGGCTTAGCGGATTATATGAGAGATGAGCTGGTTTCCTATGATCTCCCTGCTTCCTTGGATGGGTTGATCGAGCTCACCTCTCGGATCGACAGACGAATTCAGACACGAAGAGAAGAGCAACAGACACGAGCGGCGGGCCGCCGCTCGCGACAACAACTTCCGGTTTCCGGGAGATTTCAACTTCCGGTTTCGGCGGAGAATTCCCATCCCTACTCTGACTCACGGTACGGGGAGGTCGAGCCCATGCAAGTGGGTCGTACCAGTCTTAGCTCTGAGGAGAGGGAGTTACGTCGAAGAGGGAATTTATGCCTTTACTGTGGTCAGGCTGGACATTTTGTTTCCCGTTGTCCGGGAAAAGGCAGAGCCCATCAGTAATGGGGAGTATACTGGTGGGCCGAACCTCTGAGCTGATCCCCAATGGAAGACCTTTGTGCCATGCTCGACTTCTCCTGAGAGGCACATCTCAGGCTCTGGCTGTGTTTATCGACTCCGGATCAGATGTCAGCATCATTGATGAGGAGCTCGCACTACAGCTGGGCATTCAACAGATTCAGTTGCCCCAGCCGGTACCGGCTAATGCTTTGGACGGTCACCTGCTGGGAACGGTGACTCACCAGACGACACCGGTCCATATGCTCATGTCGGGGAACCACCATGAGACAATCCAGTTTCATGTGCTACGGTCCCCCAAGATTCCTCTGATTTTGGGTTATCCATGGCTCCTCCGCCACAACCCGAACATTGACTGGTCAACTGGGTCCATCCTAGGGTGGAGTTCTTCCTGTCATCAGGTTTGCCTCAAGCAGGCCGCTGCACCTCAACTATCTGTGGATATTAACCTGGTTCCGGATGTCACAGGGGTTCCGGCGGAGTATTTGGACTTTAAGGAGGTTTTTAGCAAGACTAAGGCAACATCTCTCCCACCTCATCGGCCCTATGACTGTGCTATTGAGCTACATCCGGGCGCAGTCCCACCCAAGGGGCGGTTGTACTCACTTTCGGCACCGGAGAGGAAGTCCATGGAGACGTACGTCAATGACTCTCTGGCTGCGGGAATTATTCGTCCTTCCACGTCACCCGCAGGAGCAGGGTTTTTTTTTGTGGCGAAGAAGGATAAGACCCTGAGACCCTGCATTGACTATCGGGGTCTGAATGACGTCACGGTAAAGAATCGTTATCCCCTGCCACTCATCTCGTCAGCATTCGAGTTACTACAGGGAGCAACAATCTTTACCAAGCTGGATTTACGAAACGCATATCACCTGGTACGAATCCGTGAGGGGGATGAATGGAAGACCGCCTTCAACACCTCTTCAGGACACTACGAGTACCTGGTGATGCCATTTGGACTTACCAACGCCCCTGCAGTTTTCCAAGCGTTGGTGAACGACGTACTCCGGGACATGTTGGATCGTTATGTTTTTGTTTATTTGGACGACATTTTGATTTTTTCAAAGACCCTCAAGGAACACATCCATCACGTCCAGACAGTCCTCCAGAGACTTCTGGAGAACTCGCTGTTTGTCAAGACGGAGAAGTGCGAGTTTCACACTTCTTCGGTCGCCTTTCTTGGCTACATCGTGGGTCAAGGAAGTGTGGAGATGGATCCCTCCAAAGTTTCAGCGGTTACCTCGTGGCGGGTTCCTGATTCCCGGAAGGAGCTGCAGCGTTTCCTAGGATTCGCTAACTTTTACAGACGGTTCATCCGTGGCTACAGTACCGTGGCCGCCCCGCTCACCGCCCTGACCTCGTCTAAGGTAACGTTTAGATGGTCCCATGCAGCAGAGGAGGCTTTTCAGGACCTCAAGCGCCGGTTTACGTCGGCTCCTATCCTACAGGTACCAGACCCTGCTGGTCAGTTGGTGGTGGAGGTGGATGCTTCTGACGTAGGGGTGGGGGCCATCCTGTCACAACGCTCTGGTGAGAATCAGAAGCTCCACCCCTGTGCTTTCTTTTCGAGGAGATTGAGTCCGGCAGAGAGAAACTACGACGTGGGGAACCGGGAGCTTCTAGCAGTCAAGTTGGCGTTGGAGGAGTGGCGACACTGGCTTGAGGGGACAGAACTGCCATTTCAGGTTTGGACCGACCATAAGAACCTGGAATACATCAGGTCGGCACAAAGACTGAATTCCCGGCAAGCCAGGTGGTCGTTATTTTTCACCCGGTTTAATTTTTTCCTCTCCTACCGCCCGGGCTCCCGCAACGTGAAGGCCGACGCTTTGTCCCGGCAGTTCGGGAGGGAGGGAGACACCTGCGGTATCCCGGACACTATTCTTCCTGCTCCTCGAGTGATCGGTGTTCTCGCTTGGGAGATTGAGGAGAGGGTTAAGACTGCGTTGGTGGACCAACCCGGTCCTAGTTCTTGTCCTCTTAACTGTTTGTTTGTGCCTCAGGTTTTGAGGGCTGAGGTGCTTCAGTGGGCTCACAGCTCCAGACTTTCCTGCCACCCTGGGATTCAACGTACCAGAGGGATGGTCTTGCAGCGATTCTGGTGGGCTACGCTGGAGGCTGACACCCGGGAGTTTGTGAACGCCTGTCCTGTGTGCAATCCGCACAAACCCTCTCACCAAGCGCCAGCTGGCCTCCTTCATCCATTACCGGTTCCACGTCGCCCATGGTCACATATTTCGTTGGACTTTGTGACTGGTCTTCCACCGTCCCACGGACATACTGCCATCTTGACGGTGGTGGATCGGTTCAGTAAAATGGCTCACTTCGTACCCCTGCCTAAGATCCCGTCAGCTAAGGAGACGGCTGAACTTATGCTTCTCCACGTTTTTCGCCTTCACGGACTGGCGACTGATGTGGTTTCCGACCGGGGGCCCCAGTTCACCTCTGTGTTTTGGAGGGAGTTTTGTGAACTGATCGGGGCGACGGTCAGTCTCACCTCCGGTTTCCATCCACAGGCCAATGGTCAGACTGAAAGGAAGAATCAGGAGATGGAGACCACTCTCCGCTGCATGGCTTCCGATCATCCTACGACCTGGTCTAAACAACTCCTGTGGGTGGAGTATGCCCACAACACACTCATCAGTTCCGCTACTGGTCTTTCCCCTTTTCAGTGTGCATACGGGTTTCAACCCCCTTTGTTCTCTGCATTGGAGAAAGAGGTTACCTGTCCGTCTGTCCAGGCCTTCATCAGACGTTGTCGGAGGACTTGGAGGCGGGCTCGAACTACTCTGCTTCAGTCTGCTAACCGGTACGCCACATCAGCGAACCGCCGACGCACCAAGGCACCTGTGTACCAGCTAGGCCAGAGGGTGTGGCTTTCCACTCAAAACATTCCCCTTCGGGTGGAGTCTAAAAAGTTAGCGCCCAGATTTATTGGACCCTTTGAGATCGTCAAGGTCATTAACCCTGCAGCAGTTCGACTGAATTTGCCCCGGAACATGAAGATCCATCCCACCTTCCACGTGTCTAGGATTAAACCTGTCCGGGAGAGTCCTATGATTCCCGCCGCTCCCCCACCACCACCCCCTAGGATGATCGATGGGGGTCCGACCTATACCCTTCGTCGTATACTTCGTTCCCGACGCAGAGGAAGAGGGGTTCAGTATTTGGTGGACTGGGAGGGCTATGGTCCTGAGGAGAGGCAGTGGATTCCTGCTCGTCACATCCTCAACCCTCAACTCATCCGGGACTTCCACCTGCGCTACCCGGAGCAGCCTTCTAGGACCCACGCTCAGCCAGGCGTTAAGCCGGGGGGTACTCGTCGGTTACGGACCGGGGGCTTCATCGAGGAGGAGGGGGAGGCGTCTTCAGTTGAGGAGGACGAGGATTTCCAGGAGGGGGAGGCCGAGAGAGCATTCTCAGATGAGTATTAACCTTTCCCATACCCCC